TGAGTGCTTTCACCCACCATTATGACATAGATGATATTCCTTACTGAAGTACGCAACTTAATGGACTGGTGTGTTGACAGAAACAATGAGGCAGCCAATCAGAACCAGGCAGTATATTAAAGCGCCAGTCGTTGCACGTCATGGGTTTTATAGCTTGTTTACACAAAATTCTATGTTTTAAAATAGTGAAAACATAACCACTGAATGAATTCTACACAAAAAAGCTGAAAAGAGACAACTCAAATTGAAAGAAAAACTACTGTAAAATGTACAGTATCAGGTAGGTATTAAAAAAAACATTATAGTGGTCAAATAATACAATAAATAAAATCTACAATATAAAACGTAATAAATATAAATAGTAGCACTGAAAAAATAAACTATTCTACACTGTTCAGCCATGGTTGGATAAAAAAAAAGGGACTTGAGATTACCAGTGTGTTGCATGTTAGTGACATGCATTTTGTGGTTTGGAATGTATTGTGTCCTATTGCCATATATTGAAGTCAGAGAAACCGAGATGATGACCATCTCAAAACTGAAACAATGCATTTGTATTTTGTTGCTGGTGTGCAAGATTGAAGTAGGACCGTTTATGCTGTATTGTAAAAAAAAAAAAATTGCATTAAGGATGCTGAAGACCTTCTTGATGTTTTTTGGTAATAATATTCCTGTTTTGTTTTGTTTTTAAAAAAACTTGTTTCATTCACACTCACTAAATTAAAGATCTGCATGATCAGATGATCGCAAGATAGACCAACGTTCAATTTACATAATCACATATTCAACTCTGAAAATGTTTAACGGTTCCAAATTACAAAGTGAGTAAAATGAAACATTTCAGATATAACAACTCTTAAAGATGGTTTTGCGACAATTTCTGACACTTTTCGAAATTATTCTTTGTGATTCACTGTTTTTAAATTTTTAAAACTTGAGGTGCTCAAACTAGTTTTTTAATTATGTACTCAAAATAGCTGCCAAAGTAGGGTTGCAAATGCAAATCGCCAAGTCATTGTTTCCAAGGAAACCAATTTGGGCACACCCAATTTCCCGTTTAAAAAAATGTTAGCGAGTTTGTCATTGAAAATACATTTCTAATGGCAGATTTAGAACAAAGATTTACACGAATTGCATAATAATAAATGAACAGATGAACTGCTATACTGATTATTTAAATTCTCATGAATTTGTCTGCGGACAATGATTTGATATTCAATAAAAATAAGTAGAGCGTAGGGAGAAATATTCAGCACGTTCAATTTTAGCAGACGTTTCATGGATATTCACTAGGAAGGAAAGAAATATTGTTCAATTTACTGGATTGTAAGTTAGCTAGTGATGAAAATAAAATAATTAAGCCCTACATGATAGATAGTTTAGCATCTAAAGATGTTCTATGAGGAATTCATACCTGTTTGTGTGGCTAATTAATTATTTAAAATACATGCAAATATTCTCATCAAAATTGACAATAGTCAAATTTGCACACACCACTGAAACTCAATATATGTATGTATTCTATAAAATGACCATTATTATCAAAATAAGATTCTAAAGCATCCTTAAAGCAGTGTTATTAGAATCTCAGTACGGAGCCTACCAAAACAAACTTTTTTTTTTATACACCTCTATTGGTGATGCGCTTCAAATAGAAGACAAACGTTATTATCTACCCGATGTTCAATTGTGCTCCAAACACAACAGCAATATCAGTTGACCTCTCTTGACCCTGTTTAGGCTATTTTGCATTCATAGCAGTTGATTGGTTATATAATCTAAGATAAGAGGCCTAGTCTGTGCAAATATAATTGACCTCTATATCTGGCTCTGCAGCTGTTATTTTGGGCTTATTTTACTTCCTAGACACTAAAGCTGGATTAAAACAGGAAGGGAAATCATGTTACCAGAAACGTAATTAATTGGGGGGAGGAAGGGGTAAGGGCTCAACATGAATCAAATATCACCATTAGATGAAACGAGCATGTGACATTGGATGTTCCACGTATGGCGATGTGCAAAGCATTTAAAATATTGAATAAGAATATACAGTTACTGCATGGAGTTGGGTATATAGGTCAAAGGTTATTTGAAACTATAAATCACCAAAGATTTTAGAATTAAAACACTTCATCAGCGACAGATTCAAAGTGTAATCTACACCTGCGTTTCACAGGTGGTGTACCCAATGATTTTCTCAAGTTGAGAGGTTATTTTAAACATCAAAAAAATGTTGAAAATAAAGAAATTAATTTTCTTCATTTTTAAACAATGTTGTTTATCAATATGATGTAAGAATTATATGTAGCAAATTCTTGATAATTGCAGAGAAAGTATCGAAATTACAGTAAGCACCAAAGTCCTGGGAGCATACACATAACTGGCAAAAAAAACAACAAACTCATAGCTGTAATGACTCGGACCCACTCTGACCACTGTCTCCCGTCAACAGAACTATCGCAATCACTATAAATGCGTACGAGAAATTCAGCAAAATATCCAATCATTGTCTCCAATGCAGTGTCTGAAATTCAACAGAAATCATGATGTGATACTGTATTCGCTCTACCAATATCACATGCTATGTTTCATGCGTGATTTTAAAAGCGTAAATACATATGGAGTACTGTTGTACGTATTATACAAGTACGGAGGAACCATATTGATAAAAACACTGACCCTAAAATAAGTTAAAAGATGTCAATTCGATATTGACGAAGTCATATAATAGAAAATGTTTTATAAACTTTCTTAAAAAAAAAAAAGAATGTTCAGTGAATCTATTGCTTGTACATTTTGTGAATGTGTCCCACAAATTATAGGATCATACCAAAATATGAAAAGGTGGGATAGCTGGATTTACGAAGGGGCTGATATCTTATCAGCCAAGAAATTGCAGAATTTGTTAAAAGTGAGTGCAAACCCAGATTCATTCGTCCTCTCACCGCGACTTATTTTATAACCTTGCATTCTTCTATGAATGGGTAAGAAAATTTCTTTTCTACAATTATTATATGTAACTTACTAATCCCGTATGCAAATGTTTGTGTGTACTTTAGTTCCTGGTGATTAGTACTACACCATCCCAGGGGGAAAAAATTTCAATAATGCTTGGTTAAAAATTCATTCAAACTTACAGATACAGAAAAATTGCAAAATTATTTTCAAAAAAATATTTTTGACATAAAAGACTGAAGTACTTACAGACAAAACAAACTGCTCTGTCATGTCTGCTTGTCCTTATACTTAGAACATATATCAATTTAAGTAACAAGATTATAATTCAAAAAACAAAAAGCACGTCACATATTGTAACACATGTTTCTGTCCCTGCTATAACTTATGGGTTTCTTTCATACACACCCATAGCAAACATTTGTTATAAAGTCACTTTTTAAATAAAAAAACAAATTGAATAGCAATCAAATCGCGGCATTGACAAGTTTATCAATTTCTTCAAGCGGATTTGAGGCCACATCGTCATTGCCCATAATCGGGCCAAACAAAGCAATTTTCAGTCCACACTCTGTCTCTCCATCAGGTGTCCCTGTATTGTCTATCCTACTGGACTGCCTACTTCCTGGAGACTGCCTCCCAACTACAGCGTTTTGCACCAGTTTATTCATGGCCTTCAAAGGGTCATCATTCTGTCCTTCATATGCACCTGTTCCCATGGGCAACACCCCACCCTTGGTTGTTGCTAGGTAACCGTTTTGATTGACCTGTGGATACACTGTCCTCGGTGCATCTACTGCATCACAGGAGGTCACGCTGTGTTTTGATTTTGTCAACCTTTCGGGAGAACAGTTTTTAGTTTTATTTCTATCTCTGACTCTCCCCTCAGAGGAGGCTTCCAGTGGGGTAATCATGTACTCTTGCTTGACTTTTTTATTTGATATGCTGTGAACTCTCGGAGATCGCCTAACCGACTCACTACTTGTTTGCTCAGTTTTAATTTTACTAGCAAGGCCTTCATACCGTGACTCAACTTTGGCCTTATTTTCTGTATCAGTTTTTTTCTTTTTCACCGTTAATGCTAGCGGTTCAGCCTGTACCTCCATTGTGTCCCTGGGTTCTGCTTTAATGGTAACAAGTGGTGCTGCGTTGTAAGTCCTATTATTATTATCCCTACTGTTGCTTTCATTTTTGTTGTTCCTGGGCTGTTTTGGCATGGAGAAATCCAGCGGTTTATCTTCACTTGCCATAGTGGCAAAAAAATTGCAATTTCGGTCGTTGCAATTGTTGCTGCGGTTACACTGACCAGAGGCATGTGAACTCTTGAGGGGAACCGGGCAATCATACGAGGGGTTATTTAAATTCATTGGCAAATGTGTCCAGTGTACTGTATGTGCCCTCTCTGGGAGTTTCATTGACATTGGAATGTTATTGGCAGTTCTCATAGAAAACCTCCCCATAGTAGCTCCGTGAACCAGTGCTTCCAAGTTTCCTAGAGGATTCAAATTGTTCCGCATTTGGAATTCAAAATGATCAGGATTAAGGTATTTAACTTCCCTACTCCTATTTGTGGGAATCCGAATGTCAGGTTCTGGGACATTATGAGTAGAAGTAGGATTCTTTGCTGCGATTTCGTCCGTCAATGGTGGTGTGTTTCTTAGTCTCTGCTTTAGCTGAGGGGATTCACTTCTCCCCTCTGAGTGATCAGGTGTTTCGGCTTCACGTTTGATAGAATGCGAAATAACCTTTGATTTCACATGTGTATAAATACCGTTACTTGTCGGTACCGTTGAAACAAGTTCCCACTTCACCATGTTGCCATTTGCTTCCAAGGGCATGGTAGACTGTGAGAGCAAGCCATCATCACTCGTCTTTTGATAATGTCCCGTTATTGTCATGTGTTTCGTCAGTGAGTGGATATTATCAAAGGAATGGTCACATGCAAGGCATCTTAGCACCCGAGAATTATTAGTCTTATTTTGAAGACGTGCACGAACTGTCATACCTCTGTGGTTGGAATGATTGGGGGGCATGGGTGTAGACAAACCATCTAACACAGTCCTATGGGTAGTGATGGGAGACATGTTTACTGTACTTGAATGAGTCTTTGCTTCAGACGCTACCTTTCTTATCGCCCTGGCCGCCGCGATCACTGGAGGATCAGATACAATGACTCGCATTTTCTTCTCTGACTCAACCAGTGGGTTTTCCTCCTTTTCCTCAGGAATGAGCTCCTCAGCCTCTTGCTCTTGTTGTAGTTGTTCTTGCTGCTGCTGTAACAGTGTTTCAGTCTTGTAGCCGGGAACACGACTGAAGTGCTCCGTTTCCATCATGTGCATTGTCAGGTCCTGCAGGTTATCAAAGGAACGGTTACACACCATACATTTCATGACTTTGTCCACCTGAATCTCCTCCTCATAATCCAAATGATGCGTTTTCGGCTTTTTTCTACGGTTTCCCCGGTTTGGATTAAAATGCTTTAATTCTTTCATATGTAGGGTGAGGGCAAGCAAAGTAGGAAAAGTTTTTGAGCACTGCTTACAGCGCAAGTTACACACATTCGTCCCAGTCTCAGTTGATCGTTTTTGCTGTCTACGCAAAAAACATTTACTAAACAATTGACCATTAGGGCCGATACATAAATCGTATCCTTTACATGTACTGACGTCATTAACTGATGGATCAAGTGGCCGCCCCGTAATATGACCAGTCTCTTGCAGGTGTACCAGGAGTTCATCGTTACTCACAAACCTGCTGTTACATTCCAAACAGTGGGAAATAGTTTCTTCTCCCATGTTCTCAGCTGACATCATTTCCTGTACTGACTGCACCCACGTGGCATGGGCGGCCGATAAATTAGTCTGTTCACCTGATTTCAGCGCAATTGATGCTGCAACAGCTGCAGCCTGCGCGTTCGCTTCATCAGAGTCTCTCTCCTGAACTCCATTTGGCGGAGTACTCGGTAGATAGTGGACGATATGATGGGGTTCCACTGTTGCTTTTAATCCCATCAATCCACTAAGATTAAGTGGCCTATCTTCCTCATCACTATAATCACTTAAAGTGTCTCTCTCATCCCGATAAGATTCCTGTCTTCCGCCATTTCCTCTTTCATAATTCTTCTTCCTTTTAATATATTTTCTAATGCCATACTTTTCTCCATCACCTTCATCGTCTGCATCTTCTGCATCCATGGAAACATTACAAACATCGTCGTCGTCCAGTTTATCGTCATCTACGTCCATCTCCTGCCCTGTTTCCAAACAGGCTGCAAAAAAACAAAATGTATATTAATAAATATTTAACTTTCTAAAGTAAGACATGATTTTTAAAAAACGAGCCTTCATTATTTTTCAACAAATGTTGATCAAAATCTAATGAAAGAAAAATATTTCAACATATTTTTAAAATTTTTCAAATGCTGACATACATATATTAGTGTCCATGTAAATGTACCACTGAATTATAAATTAGGTCATCTCGGAGAAATGCATGGGACAGAGCTCTGGCAGGAGCAATACAGATCATTAATATTAATCTTTGAAACAGAACATTGATCAAAGACATCTCACATTAAAACTTACATGGAACACCTAAACTGATGATTTCCTCAGACAGACGTACAGAAAAGGTCTAGCCTTTTCCTCTATTCTAAGAAGTAAAACTACTTTGAATGGTCAAAGGTCAAAGACTGAAACATGTCTCACTGAACACTCAAAGGAAATGGGGGAAATGATTTGGATTTACTGATAATAATATTAATTATTGGAAGACCATTTATCAAAGACACCTCGCGTAACAACTTACTGGGAATACCTAGACTGATAATTTCCTAAGTATTGAGAAGACAAACTAAGAAGATACAGCCTTTTCCTCTATTTAGAGAAATAAAACTACTTTAACTTGTCAAAGGTCATACACTGAAACTTGTCAAAATTGCACACCAAAGGAAATGACTTTACATGTGCAATGTACACCCGACAGAGTCAGACAGATTTTTTCCAAGCTTTCATTGCATTTATATAGCTTTCCAGTTTACACACAGTTTGGTTTTACTGTAGTTTTTAAATTCCCTGTGAGCATTCTTTCAGTAACATGGTAATAGAAAATTGTCTACAGTAAGTGGATATTTCAAATGATGAATATAGATATCAATTTTCCCTTTTGACTTCACAAATGACATCAGAAGGCAATTCTACTAAGATATATCTTCACCTTCATTGGGCGAGTCACTGGTAAGTCAATATACTTCGATGTTACAAATTTATGGCAATACATTAACAGAAAGCAGTGCAAATATTGAAATAAACCTGATAAAGGGAATATGCTCATTTTCAATGTGAGCTTTACAATCACAAATCTGTCAAACAGCTGGGTAGATATTTTGATTTAAATTTTAATACTGTTGTTTTTATTTAAAAAAATCAAAAACTGAGAACTGGTAAATCATTTCATGATTTTGAATGCACTAATTATTCACTAGTTTTTAAAATCAGAATTTTCGTTGATAAGTAAAAATTTGCAATAACAATAGAATTCCACGTTTTCCTGCGAAGTTTCTGAACTTCGAAACCCAAAATATCAAAATAGCGAAAATTAAATTCTGGTGAAAATAAATGGTTTCACGGTATAAATATATATATTTATATATATTTGTGTCCAATATAAATTAAAGGAAACCACCATATCAAGCTTGTTTTTTAAATCCACACAAAAGTTTATGAATACAATTAGCAAAATTAAATCTCACCCCAATTAATATCAAAAAACAATATAGTCTGCAGTGTAAAGTTTGTCTGGCTTTACAAATTTCAGCCGCATAACAGATACCGCGTTCAAAGACATTAATGCCAATTTACATTCAGTGATTTATGTGTTCCCGCTTTTCAAATACAGTCCCTGGAAAGAAGTCATAAATCAGCGAATAATAAAATTCCCCTTATGCAATGGAGTGCACATATTAAATTACCGACAGCAAGAGACACACTAAACATCCATCAAACTTGGTAGAGAAATTTACATGATATCAAAATTCAATCAGAAAAATAAGAAAAGAAACACAATATCAGATACTCGAAAAAAAATTATAAATTATAAATAAACAAAAGTTTAGTTTACTCAGATTAGATAAATAAACGAAGAAAAATATTCAGAGTATTTTTTATTCTATCATTTTGTGTTAATTCTAATGATCAAGATAAAATTCTAAGATAAAAGTTGAGACTATGAATAATGATGCTTTGTACATTAATGAATAAAATAACGATACATCATTATTTGTGTAATGTATGTTCCTGACACAGGTTTCTTTTTTGTTTTAACTTCTATTATCTGTTGCATCTTTTACAAGACTGCACAGATTCTTATATGCCCAAACGATGCTCAAACCTCATGCAAAACAAAACATATACACCGTAATTACTCTATTTGATGTGCAAATATAATAGAAGCACATATATAAACTAAATATTGCATTTATCATACCGGATCATTAAAATAAAACTTACTTTGACACTTAATATATTTTGTACACATGCTACTAATAAGGAAAATACCGTTTCAAATTTGACTTGTTTTCTTTTTTTATTTGAACTAAATCAAAAGTTGAGTTGTCTGTATGTTTTTAAGTAGAGTGGAGACAATGGTCATCATCAAATGTGATGATCTTTACATACATATACATGTATACAAATCACAATGAGAGCCGCTTATTTTCAAGGTACAGAGAGGTGCTTTGTGCACTAGAATGTTTACACCTTTGTAAATGGACAGGCATGTGTCACATGGAAGCTTTTCAATAGGTTTATATACTCTTTCATTTTAAAATGCAATCTGTGAAAAAAAACTTACGCAGGTGACAGTCGCCCCCCCCCCCTTCCCCCATTAAGGTTTTGGATTTATATTTTAAAAAGCCAATAGCTTTCGAACATGAACATTCTTTTCATGTTCAATGTTACACATTGTGACTACCGCAATTGCTCAATTAACCGTGAATTCCCTGTCTTTATGTAAATGTCCTGTCAAGACGGACTGTCACCGCAACAAATGACAATACGATTGAAATTACGATCAAGTGTACATCTATTGGGAAATCACACTATCCATAGTCTGTAGTATAACCCATGTCTCGTTTCATCCTCATTACTCCATCCCTGCAGCAAAATCTGTTCCTGATTCAATCATAGCGTTTCATCCACAACAGTACATGTAGATGCGCTTTTAGTCTCTAACCAAAAATAATACTTGCTCCAAAATTAGAGAGTATTTTTAATTATTATCAACAAAATAGTTTCCCAATACTCCTTGTATTAAAATACCAGCAAAGATTTTATATGTACTTTCATGCATATTAACGTATGTTGACTTTGTTGACTCGAAAAAAATAAATGTTAAAATTACAAATTATTATTAATAGCATATTTGAAACTATCCCCAGCATTGATATCTAGGCAAGAATGCAGTATTTCAATAAAAACACAAAGACATTCGACGTACATGGTTTTAGCAGCGATTCTATCGTCAACATTGCTATGGAAGCACATAGCAAGAATGGCGTCTTTTTTTTTTTTTTTATTAATTTTTTTAATCATACAGTGGGAGGGTCATTAAATATATACTGACATTGTTTTATTCTTTTTGCAATGATATGCTGCAGACAATGCATCATATCCTGTATAATTTGTCGACGTTTTCCAGTTCACACAGGTACAGACATGTTTTGATTCAAAACTGTTCACACATGTTGAAACTTATAAACTAAACTAAGCTCCCAGAAAATTCCCGCAAGTTCTCATGCAAGTAATCATACATGTACAACCGCAATGAAAATACCGGGGGTACTAGTAGATGTTTCTTTCCAACAGTTTTTCGTGGTGACAATTTTAAGGAAGGACATTTTAATAATGCAGTGAACAAAAAGATTGATACATTTCTAGATCTATCACAGAATATCTGGACATGACACACACATAAATAATTAAAGCTAAACCTGTGTTTTACTGAATTATTAAATCATTGAACATATTTTTCTGCCATTTCTATGTTAATTTTAGTTTCACAAGCTAGTCAGCCATAGACAAGTTTTTTTCCCCCCAACTACTAACATGGTCAACTATTTTTGTGCCAGGTGACATTGAATG